TGGGGAGGGAAAGTAAGGGAAAAGTGGGGGGGGGGGCGGGAGATTCCTTTTTTTTTAAGATATGTTAATCTACAGTAAGTAAGGTATTAATTTTCCATAGTGATTCAATTTCTAATTTAATTGTTCCAAAAGTAAAGTCCTCTCCCCCCTTCCCAAAAGTGAAGTCATAACATATCTTTGCATGCATGGAAAGCACTGCTACTCAGGGCAAATCTAAATACATCTAGCAAGCCTGAACGAGTTGGACTCTTTTATGACTGTGTGTGCCTACAGGTTATTGATGCAGGATGAGCACGCTTACTGGGATGCTCTGTTTTCTGTTTTCAATCATTCTTATGCTTACTGATGTCACAGCAAGCAGCAGCACATCACTGATCTCAAAACAAAAAATCTAAGCAAGGTTGGGCATGGTTAGTAGCCAAGGAGTGGGCCAAGGGCAGGAGTCGCCACAAAATCCCAGGACTGCAGGCTAGGTCGGAAAGTCAAAAAGTATCTTGGAAGAAGGTATTAGCAAACAACTTCCATGTTGTTGACCTATAAATAACTTGTCCATGTTGTTACCAGGAGTTAAGCTCAACTCAAGACAGCCTTTTACTTTCACTTCTACATGAGGATATAGTAGTATTAAGAACACATGTGGATTTCATTTAAATGTCCTCCTTCCATCCTTTCTGATATCCAACAAAGGAGGAGGTAGTACAGCTTCCCTGCAGGCAGATGCCTGAGTTTTATCTAGACCATGAGTTAACACATTTCTCCTGGGAGAAGTTAAATCAGCTGGGAAAAGGAAGCACAGAAAAAGAATTTGCCACTTATTTATTGCCTTCAAGCACTGCCTTCAGAGAAAGTCTGATCCTTTAAATGCTTCTGTATCCCAGCCACTCTCACCCTTTAATGAGCTTTCTCTGATGAAATTAAACGTAACAGCATGGGGGCCTTCTAGGCATCTCTCCACTTACAAATGGAACGTACGTCTTTCGCTCCAATTCTTAGTGGCGATTCAGGATTACGACGATGAATTGTGCCCCTCCTTTGGGTTGTTTTGCTGCAATTCCCTACCCGGTCTAGGCCGAAGGTAGGCTAGAATCTCAGCATGATTTGCTACTACACTACCAACACTTCGGCTGCCAACAATGCGAATTGTCCCTTGACCAGCTGAAACGAGGAACGCTTGGGAGGAGCAGGATATGGGTTTTGGATCGGAAGGCGCTGTCACAGTTCCCTTCTGCTCGGACTCTCGGAGCAAACTCCGGAGCCCCGCATTCCAGTAGCGAATCTTCTGCAACTGGTAGAACAGGACGTCGTAATTCAAAACCACGTGAGTATAATTATATGGGGGTATCTAGATCCGATAGATTAGGGGCGGGGAAGGGTGTTTCTGACTCTGAATCACCCGGCCGCCCATCCGCCTGCGGCCTCTTGGGAAAGCGAGTTCACGAAGAAATCGACAGCTTTTCAGCGGTGTCCACCCGCTTTTTTTTTTTTCCCTCTCGCTTTTACGTCTTCTGACAGCTCCGCCCGCGCTTGGCTGAAGTCAACTTCCTTTACTGCTTTCCACTTTTTTCTCTCTCCCTGCTAGTCAATCCAGTCGCGCTATGGTGAAGTGGAGCGGCTTTGCTGGGAGACTGGGGCGCTGCCTGCGGTCGCAGTCCGGAGCTCCCAGCCCCGCTCCCCTTCGGCGGGGTACTTCCAGTGCTACAGAGGCAGCTTCGGCCTCCCTGCATGAAGAGCGGCTGAAGAGGCCGGAGGAGTTGCCCGGGACGGGGGCACTTGGGACCCTCTACTGGATCTTCGTGAGGGGCTACTTGCTACACACGCACCACCTACAGGTGATGGACCGCGCGGGGGCGTCCCATAATAGGGAGGCCACCAGGGAAAGTCTCGGGGGCGGGGGAGAGAGGCCCTCTGAGGGAATAGCTTGGCGATCTTACCTACATCGCTCGTCGCAAGTAGCGAGAAGGCTGCGCGGCCGTCCGGAGATAGCGAACGAGCCAAATGACCGCCAATTGGAAGACCCAGGCAGGGGACGGCCGGCCTCGGAAGGACCCCGGGTGCTGCTTGAGCAATCCAGAGTTGGGCACCTTAGGATGAAGCTCTGCTTCCACGTGACCCCAGCTCTTGGTGTTGCTACCCACCAGAGTGACTTAGAGAGGATCAGGATGGAGTGAGGAGAAAGCCACCCTGCTTATGTTCAGGTGCACTTGGGTTTGACGTCCCCTCTGCTAAAACTGCATTTGCAGAATTTGGGGATGACTGTTGGTGGATCAAACGAACCCTTTCCTGGCCTCAGCAATCCGGTGCCAATGGCATCGAGCACTGCTTCCGAAACACAACAAATTAAGAAATTAATAGTGGAGCCAGGGGAATGGAGAAAGTATTCTCTCTCTTAAAGCAATGACATTAAATTAAATTAAATTAAATTAAATTAAATTAAATTAAATTAAAGCCAAGTCATAACACTTGACAGGGTGCTGAAGCAAGGAGGGTCAAGTTTCAAGAAGCATTAGGGAAGTCCACACTACTGGGTCTTTTATGCAACCAGAAGTTAAAAGCATCAAGTTTCAAACAGATTAGTGGGTTCCTTGATAATTATACCAGTTTGTTCAGAGGTGTGTCATTTTTATATCAACTAAATTTAATTAAATGTGTTTGGGCTTGCAGATTACATCTGCAGATATTCTGTATTTTACTGAGATGGAGAATTCCTCCCAGCTGGTGCTCTCAGGATACATGGAGCTCAACTCAACATCAAATCATTATGTCCAAAAGCCATGATGGTGCAAGTGGATTGAAGTCCAAAACATCCGAAGGGCACCAGATGGGGCAGGGTCTCCTAGGTTATGATCAAGATTTTTCCTTTCCATTCTGAATGTGTATCTATCATAGGTTATGCAAATAAAGCAGAAACATTATGATACACAACATAGATTAAACCAAAATTTGATTTGCATGGTTTTGACTTAGCTTCTTCTGTGCTCAGACACTTTGGCTTGTTACCTGGTTCATGACATAATATATTTAGTAAATTCAGCTAATTCTGGCTTTTTCAACAAACCTTGGTTCAATAAACTATGGTTTATTTAGTGTGATGTGTGAACCCAGGTAATAGGTCGTCTTCAGATAAAAATAGCAGAATGTATGCTCAGAGACTTGAAAGAAGATGTGAACGTCAGAGCACTGCATAAATCATCACGATTACCCCTCCTATGCATACCAGAACCAATAAAATTAAGAACACTAGGGGCCTGTAATTTCCTAAGGATGTTGACACTCTGGCTTTTTAAATAGCTAACACCCCATTGTTGTTCTGCTCTAAAATGGAATTAGACAACTTCTATGTTCTAATTTCCTATGGTTTCCTCAAGTCATAAGCTCAGGCCTCAAGATCAGTCAACCCATCCTTTTCTTTTGCAGGTTGCTTGTGGACTAGGAGATAAGAGATTACTTGGGAAAAAGGAAAGTTAAAAGAATGTGTGAGTTAGAAATGGGAAATGATTGGGCCCATCCACTTTAGTCTTTGGCCTCACTTCTGACTTCAGTTCTGCTCACTATTAGCATTTTGGATACGAGAAATTGTCCCCCAAGGAATGTGACCATCTACAGGAGGAAAAAAATAATGTTCCCATCCCTTACACTAAGTGTAGACATTGTAGGAGAAGAGCTGTGTTAGTCTGTGGTAGCCAAAAGCGAGGATGACTCCTACCTTTTCAGACTAACAATTTTTATTAAATAGCATACGCTCACAAAAAGCTTATGCATTTAATAAAATATGTTAATCACAACAGATGCTACTAGATACCTTCTGATTTTTGATTCCCTATACAAAAGGATGTTGGAAGAATTGGGCAAGTGACCCAAGAGAGGAAATGAACCCAGTGGGTAGGCCAGAATAAATATTTCATTTGCCTCTTCACTTAAAATCAAGACAAATGACCTAAGTATTTGAATTCCCTTGTCAGCACTGGCCACTTACAGACCGTGACTGTTCAGAACTTGTTTTCTCTTTCATTAACAAATCGTTGCAAGAAGTTCAGCTGTACAGATTAAAGTGCTGGGTTTCAAACTAACAGAAAGATTGAAAAGGCATTTTTATTGCACCACAGCAGATAAGACATGATAGTGTACTAAATACGGGCTGGGAATAACATGCTTGAAAAACAAAGTATGCAAGAAGTTAGCTTTACTACGGAATTCATAGTGTGCTCCTGTGGAAAATAAGTGCCAAAACGACTTACCAAGATGAAACAAGAAAAAAAAAATCAGCACACACAAATCCATTTTATTAAACATCAGTTTGGAGATTCTCTGTGTGTTTTTAAAAATACACAAAGTATCAACAAGTATCTTAATCTGATGGGCACAAATAATGGCTCTTTGGCATGACAGACGTTGAGCCTCAGGGAGGATCTTTGAACTTGGTCGACAGTAAAGCTGATGTGTTGCAAGGAACAAAAAACAAGGGCTGTTTTTTTAGAAAACATTTCTCCTTGGGAAAGCCGCCAAACCCTCCTAGCTACTAAGCATCTATGTATTAACTAAATAGTTTATTGTGGGTGGCTGGTTGTGAATTGTTCCAAAAATTAGGCCAGTTAAAGTCAAATTGCATGACATGACCTTATTTTTAAGAATAGCCAGATGTTGATCAGAGGTGTACAAAGAGTAAAAGTATGGAAGGTTTGGGGCCAAAGACACAAGGCTTCCCCCACCCCATGCCTTCAGCCCCCAACTGCTGCAGCCTGGAAGGGAGGGAGGTCATGCCTGAGTTTTTCCACTACTGGGGCCTAAGAGGTTTGGAGCCAGAGAGCGCTAGTTACACTCCTGGGTTTGATGTACAACAACTATGTCAAGAGTAATCCTGTGTTTAGTAAGCATTGATAAATTTGGATGTAATTGAAGCCTCCAAGAGAAGAGAAAAAAAATCTGTGATTCTTTCCTTAAATTTTCATACAAATGAGAAATCAATGTAAAAGCCAATCTTCAGAATCTCTCTCACCCATTTCCTAGAAACAGCTCAGGTTGAGCTTTTGGAGAAAAGAACAGGCAAGTGCAGAAACTGGTTGCATGAGTTGCCTGCAAAAAGAGATACATTTCAAACCTATTGCTTATCACTTTCACTCATCTGTAACATAAACCAATTGTTGTAGTACTGAACTTGCTGTTCCAGGGCCAGCAACCATCTTTCCTCTCCCACCCCAATATTTTTTCCCTTTCTGGTTTCTCTTCTTTTTTTTCCCTCTTTGCTGCAAGGCTCTTATTTCATGAGAAGAAAGAGAAAAACCATCCAGCAAGACAGCATTGCTGGGATTGGCAATAGTTTTGACAGATCTGCCCCCCCCCCGCATTTATTTATTTATTATTAAATTTGTATGCCGCCCATCTCCCCCAATGGGTGGACTCTGGGCAGCTCACAGTTAAAATCAAAAACCCATAAACAATTAAAAATACCCCATAAATAATTAAAAGTAATTAATCCACTAAAAATCAACTGTAAAAACAAACCCTATACATGAATACTAAAAGCGTTCAAGATGACGGGGGGGGGGGGCAAAGACAATTACCCCACAAGCCACCTCCACTGGGTTGCGCCTCCACCCGGCCCCAAGGCCTTCTGGCATAGCCAGGATTTCACCCCTTTCCTGAAGGCCATGAAAGTGAGGGCACACCGCACCTCGGGAGATAGGTTGTTCCACAGAGCAGGGGCCACAGCAAAAAAGGCCCTCTTCCTAGATCCCACCAGCTGAAATTTCTTGATTGGTGGGGTCTGCAACATGCCCCTTCTGCTGGACCAAGTGGGGTGGGCTGATATAACAGGGGCGAGATGGTTCCTCAGATAACCTGGTCCTGTGCCATGAAGGGCTTTAAAGGTAATAACCAAACCTTGAATGGGACCCAGAAGCAAACTGGCAACCAATGCAGCTCGCGTAAAAGCAGTGTTATATGTGCTCCCCTAGGGGCATCCAGAACTGTCCACGCCGCTGCATTCTGCACCAGGTGTAGCTTCTGGATACTCTTCAAGGGTAGCCCCATGTAAAGCGCACTGCAGTGATCCAACCAGGAGGTGACCAGGGCATGAGTGACCATGCGGAGGGCCTCCCGATCGAGGAAGGGGCGTAACTGCCACACAACATGAAGTTGCTCAAAGGCCCTCCTAGCCACAATTGCCACCTGCTCTTCGAACAGGAGTCATGAGTCCAGGAGGACCCCCAGATTACGCACTGGGTCTGTCTGGGGTAGTGCGACCCTGTCAAGAACTAAATATGATAAACTCCTAGATCTTGAGGCTCCCTGTACCCCCAGCCACTCTGTCTTACCAGGGTTCAGCTGAAGCCTGTCATCCCCCAT